GATGAAGTAACAGTCCTGCCGATAAAGCCACAGACCCCCCTGTGTAATGGGTCGTGCGCTTTCAGGAAGCTCTACACACTGTGAAAGCTGCGAAATTCGTTATGGCCCGACATCTTCAGGTGGACACCACAAGAGAGTTCGACGGTCGGTTTCGATGAGATCCACCGTGTGCTCCACTGCAAGATGAGAGCAGGGAAGGTGATTTAAGCTTGAGTTAGTTTATAATGATAGCCGCTGTCCGTGCCGGTCATCAGACTGGAGTGGGGATAGCACATGCTTACAAACATTTTGACCTAGTGGGGCAACACGTGGTCCTGCACGTAGCCTGAGCCGTCGCCCTTCAAGGTTAGGTAACCTAGCATTCATCGAGAGATTCGTCGACTGAGAGGCACTAGCCATAGAGTAAACACGCTCTCCTCACATACAGGAGACTGTCAAAGACCGCTAAAGAAGGAGCTGCTGCAGCCTGGCTCTCTGCCCACCAGTCCGCCACTCCACACAAACACACGCACAAATGGACGGACTTCGTGGACTGAGTTGGGACGTCAGTCGGCCCCCTCCCAAGCCACGGCGTCCGACGCACCGTGGCAGTCTTGGACTCTGGTCCCACATTCAGCTGGGGAGTCGCATAGACAAGGAGCCGAGACGCATGCTTCCCACTTGCGTGGGAGATGGCGACTGGGTGTTTTGCGGTGGGTGAGATTGTTGTGGGGTGAGATGCTGGTGGGGAAGGTTGTGACGGTGTGATGCAGCGGGTGGTTGTTTACTGAAGGTTTTCGTGGACGCGCACGTGGACGCCACGTGGTGAAGAAATGTGCGAGGGCAGTGTGGACAGTGGTGGTGAATGCGGAGGTGTAGGCTGTTGATCCAGGCACTGGTTCGCCGGTCTCTGTGCGATGGATTTGCAAGTGGCCGGCCAGGCCGAGGTGTGAGGTGAAGGTGCGGTCGCAATGAGGACAGGTGTGGACCAGGCCCTCACCACAAAAAATGTGGACATCAACGAGAGCCTCTACTGTCCGCCAAGCATAGTAAAAGCAACCAGACCGATGAAGTAGCTGTCGCCGGAAAATCATGCAGGGCGGACGCAAACCTAGCCCACGATTACAAGTCCGACGGATCGTAATCCGTGCGAAAACTTGCCCGCAATTGTTTTGCGGGTTGCGACCACAAGGATCGTTCCATCATTTTGACAAGAATGCCAAAACCGTGCCCATCCATAATTCGCAGGTATTGGAAGAAAGGCATCCAAAGAAATATAAGTTGAAAAAAGGTAGGTCCTATGACACAAATAGATTTAATGTGTAAATTTTCGACGTTGGTTCCTCAGGTCCTTGACCGGCAAGAATGGAGAGCAAATGTGGGAACAAGAAAACATAAGCAATGTTTTAATGACCTGGCCTGACTTACCTTTATTGGTTTTCCGGCTGCGCGTAATTCGCGGCCTCCTACCTACCTCCTCCTAAGACCGCCTGCCCACCCCGCGGCTGAAGCGGACGCTACCGCGCGTCAAGCGGCACATGCGCTACACGCACGCACGCACGCATGCGCTTACTGCTTCAAAAAGTTGACGATGTGAACACACGGAAGCTGCCAGTTACGATGGGACTGACTGCTACGCGTGTTGACCGCATCGCTGCATAGCCGGACATCGGCATTTGCAGAAATGTGGGATAGTACGGCATCTGAGGCGTACCCAGTGAGCATTTGGCATATTCGACGGAGGTGTGGCCTCAAGCCCATGTAGTGCCTGCGGCGGCAATACTCATCAGCGTCCAACCGATTAGTGTTAACAGATTTTGACTGAAGAAACTGTGCTATGTTGTGAACGCAGTCAGTGAGAGACATATAGGGCTTACGCTACTGCTTCAATACACGGTTCACACTTTTAATCTTATTTGCCGTGTTGTCGCCGCACGTCACAAGACTATGCCGAGCGCACCCCCTTTACGACCAATGGGAACGTCGCGGGGGGAGGTGAGCGGCTGGTTCTATTGATCCACTTTGTCGATTGCCGCGGTGTTGAGCACGTAGAGCTCACGTGCACACATAGAAGGCCAGCTATGCTGCCTGATCAGTCCTAGAGGTCAGTAGTGCCAATTGTTGCTGCCTCAGAAGACTTCAGACTTCGCAGTTTGCATTTGTGGTTGACTTTTTGTTCTCTACTTGCGTTTTCTGTGTTATTTGTTGACTTTTTACAGTAGGTGACATCCTTTATTTGCTTTCTTCTCTTACTTCTGCTGTTACATAAGCAGTGTTCGAATGACCTGGCCTGCCTAACTATTTTTTGGTTTTCCGGTTGCGAGTGATTCGCGGCCCGATATCGCGCGACCGCAAAGTGGATTTTTAAGACTGCCTGTCGCCCTTGCGGCTCAGACGGAGGCCTAGTTCGCGAAGGCTAACGCGCCTTGTGTTCTCATCGTCAACGTTTTGAAGCAACAAGCGCATGCGTGCGTGCGTGTGTGTAACGCGTATGCCGTTTGTCGCGCGTTAGACTTCACGACCTGGGCCTTCGTCTGAGCCGCGAGGTGGGCACGTAGCCTTACAAATCCACCTCGCGGCTGCGCGGTATCGGGCCGCGAATTACGCGCAACCGGAAAACCAAAAAAATATTAAGGCAGGCCAGATCATTCAAACATAGCTTATGCAACAATAGAAGTAATAGAAGAAAGCAAATAAAGGATGTCAGCCACTGGAAAAAACTAACAAATAATACAGAAAGCGCACGTAGAGAACAAAAATCAACCGCGAATGCAAACTGAAAGGTCTGAATGCTTCTCAGGCCGTGATAATTGGCCCTACTGACTTCTAGGACTTTAGCTCTTTTCTCCTCAATTGCTCCTTGAGATTTCTGTACACGACATCCAACTTGATATGCCGGTTGATGCCTGATTCATCCGAGTGCATGGCCTCGATGAACTCTCGGCCTTTCTTGAAGGGGCAGACAGCGACAACGCGAGCTTTTCCCAACTGAAAATGTGCCCGGTGTTCAGGGTATACATAGCTACTCAGGATGGACGGTCTCGCCTCTTTGCTGTCAATTGGTGTTCGTTGATGCGCGCCGAGGAGGATTTTCCGGTCTGACTATAATAAACGACACCAAATGCATCAGACGGAATCTTGTAGATGCCCTCTTTCTTATTCAGCTGGCTAAACCTATTTTTAGGATGTACCAGTTGATAGCGCGAAGTAGTCGTAGGTCTATGCGGCACCCGAATTTGGTGCTTCATTAAGTGTCTTTCAACGAGTTCAGACATATTCTTAGTGTATGATGGAGTCTGTACAGTACTTAGTTTACGCGTCTGATTGGAAATACCCAGTTCCTTCTCCTTTGCTTCCTGGCGCCCCATACATCTGCATAAATGCCAAAAATTATCGATTTTATGTGCACTCGTGACTTCATTCTTGTTCACGCATTTGTACTCCGTCTGCATCTGACGACGATCTGGGAAATGAGTGCCGAAAAATTATGCAGTAAAGCTTCCGGTCTCATAGAGCCTATATTATGTCACTATCTAGAAAGTGTGTGGTCTTTACAGAGGCATAGTCCCTGCCAACGTTGCAAATAAAAGCTTCGTCAATGCCGCTCTCCATTGGCTGAAGATACGCAACGTTGAATCTCTAGGCGCCGTGAAACAATTAACAGAATATTTAAAGCACCATAACCGCTAATGAACTGCCAGAAAATGAGGAACAATTTCTGTGACGAATTTTTCAATTTGACAGGGGTCATGAACACAGTAAATCGCGGCGGACTCTGGGGAAGGTCGCTAAAATGCGGTTGTCTGAAGTGATTCACAAAAACGGCAAGCCAACTTTGCGACTTGATATCAGTCCGTGTCGAGGACAATGGGCAAGTCTCTGAATCATTAATAGTGGTCTGTAGGAGAAGCAGGCCTACGTACTCCTACCCTAGTCAACCTTATGTTACCCATTATGTCAATGCTGCCAGCCAAGAATCATGAAAATATCGGTCTGGGCTACCAGTTTGACAGAAAACCACCCAAAATTCGTCTTAATCAGGCTATTCCGAGTGTATTCAAGACCAGGGCCAGCGACGTATTGTTCAAGGAGAATTGCAAACAAACAAAACAAACGGAGGAGTGTGTGCGGCATATTTCATAATCGTGTACCAACCGGCGCATATTCGCGATTACTCTGGACACCATATCAATGGTTATATTATTTATAATACAGCAGCAGCAGCAGCAGCAGCAGCAGCAGCAGCAGCAGCAGCAGCAGCAGCAGCAGCAGCAGCAGCAGCAGCAGCAGCAGCAGCAGCAGCAGCAGCAGCAGCAGCAGCAGCAGCAGCAGCAGCAGCAGCAGCAGCAGCAGCAGCAGCAGCAGCAGCAGTAGCAGCAGCAGCAACAGCAGCAGCAGCCGCAGCAACAGCGACAGCAGCAGTGGCAGCAGCAGCAGAAACCTTCGCATACCTTACGAGCACAGTTTCAAGAAACATGAAGTTTAACGGCGAAATTACAAGTCAAACCATCAAAGTCATTCAGGACTTCTGAAGGATAAAATGCCGCGTTTTGACCCTTTGCGTTATGCAACTTTTCAAATCGCTGATTATGGACAGCGCTGTCAACCTAATAGCTGTCTTCTACCATGGAGGTACTATATATCTATAAGGGTCGGGTGAAAATTTCCAGTCAGTTTCTCTTTAAAAGCACCTGGAGGATACTGAATTGGGAATGACGGGAAAGAATCCCGAAACCGACATCCTGGAAAGAATCGTCATTTTCGGTGTCGCTGACATGCTGATGCGGATAAAATTGTGTCGGAGAGGCCGCCTCCAAAGGATAAGCGAAAAGATTCTGTTTAAACGACAATTATCCGTAGACGTCATTAAAAAGTGCAGACGAGCGTGGCTGAAATAAGAGGCGCTGCAAGGACGCCTCTATAGCCTACCTTGAGCGCTTGTGGCTCAACTTCGTATACCATTGAGCAGATATTGCAGCACAGTGCACTCGATGCTTTAAGCCCGTCATGCATTCCATGGACCACATCATGACCATCTTTCTAAGTAGTGCGTCGAAACTGTGTCTCCACAGGCGAGTGTGGGAATGTGGGAAAGGGAATTGGGGGGTAATAGCAGTCAATTCCAAAGACGAGGTGAGTGCATAAGGGCGCGGAGAGTTGCAGCGTTAGTTGCCCTTGGAGCAAGGTAGGTGCGGAGCCTGAACGTGGTCTTCCTGTGCGCACAAGACAGGTTTTTGTAACCTGATATCGAACACCACCACCACCACCACCACCACCACCACCACCACCACCACCACCACCACCACCACCACCACCACCACCACCACCACCACCACCACCACCATCCTTTTAAACAGGAGACCTGACGGTAGCGTCCAAAGGACCGTATATCGGAAGAAAACCTAGTCCGGACAGTACACGAATTTTGGCAGATTTGCGTCCTTCCATCTAAAACAAAATCTAGTCCAGTAGTTAGGAAAGCTTGTTCTGCAGATGACATCGAGGAGAAGCTCAGAAAGATGCAGGACTTGTTGCGTGAGAACGGATATCCTGACGAGTTTACCGCCAAGAATACTGCTGCTGACCATACTGACTGCCGAAAAGAAAACGCTGTTCCTCACAGTCCCTTTTCAAGGAGAATCTCTGAGCGAACTCCCAAGAAGGCGTCCTAATCAAGCTGTCTCACGAACCGTTCCGGCGGCAAGGGCACGAATACTATTCTTAACAAAGTCCACTGTACGCGTAAAAGGTGAGGATAGGTTAGCAAATCAGACCACATTACTGTGTATCTACTCCTTTAATTACTCCTGTAACGCAGGTTATATTGGTCGCACGATCCGGCGGTTTACCCAAGAGAATACGAGAACACCCCTCGGCATGACTGGGAAAAGGACAAACTAGGAGTATAAACGGCACCGTTCCCACCCATGTTGTTGATTTCGGACATCGTGTGAATCCCAGCAAAGCTTTTCGTGTGATTTATAAGGTCCCATCGAGCTACTATAAGGTAATGGGTCAGCGCCTGTTAGAGGCAGCAGAAGCAGCCGCTATCAGGTTACAGAAACCAGTCTTGTGTGCACAGAAGAACCACATTCAGGCTTCGCAGCCACCTTTGCTCCAAGTTCTACAGACGCTGCAACTCTCCGCGCCCTTCTGCACTCACCTCGTTTCTGGCATTTACTCCTATTACACCCCCCACCCCAATCCCACCCGCCACATTCCCACATTCACCTGTGTCTTAAGAAGAACTGTAATCGATTTTTCTTATTGCCGACATGTGTTTGCTTCTAACCCGCTCCCATATATCTGTACTGGCCCGATGAGGATTGATCGAAAGCAGACGTATGCTCGCCACCTGGTCTTCTCAGCAAGCATTTATTAAATCTTGCTTTGATATACTATGTCGTGTTGAGTACTTTGTCGAATTTAACTCGGTCCCTATTCCACTTTTCGGCATCCATTCGACCCGTTGAAACGTACTCGCTAAGTCTAAAACTACACAGCTGGATATCTCCTTGTCAAGTTACGATACAAATACTTGGTGTTTTTGATCAGCATTTAACTAAGGTTTAAGTGTGCACTATTAATGCTAGTGCGTTAATGCAATCTCGGCAGTCTTAACCCACCCAATTTAATCCTTATCCAAACGTGCTCCCTGTATTTTGCCCTTATTGTAGTATTCCATTTAGCTGAAGCGTTCTGTTCGACAAAAAGATTGCCTATCTGGTCGTAAACTACGGCCAAATTAGGGACACCATCACACCTTTCGGGATGGTTTTGTCAAATGGACAGTAAGCAGACCAAACCTCCTAGAATCATGAGAAACGTTGATTGTCTGAAGAAACCGAAATTCCTCTTCCCCTAAGCGCTAACTTTCATTTTGAGTTTAGCTTTTGCAAGCTGTACGTTCAAATAAAATAACCTTAAAATTTGCAAAATTGGAAGGGTAGTTTACTGAACCATTTCCATCAGGTGACGCATTTCGGCAAGTTTATCGGAAAGTATTTCGGCAAGTTTTATCGTTTTTTCATATTCGCTGTTTCGAACGCTATTTTCTACGAACTGCAAATCTGTTGCTGTCAAGGAATGTATATCGTAAGATAGATTTAGAATGACGCAGAACGCGCTTCAACTACCGAACCTTGTTACTTGTCGACAAAGTAAGGGGCATGCCTGTTTGGCATGCCCGCAATGCAATGTTCTGGTTTTTACTAACTGTTTTACAGTGAATTCACAAAGTCAAATTTAGGAACAAGAAGCGACTGTTCGAGACGGATGTAGCGTTCATAGGTGACTAAAATGCAGATCACAAATCATGAAATTGTTTGAACTATTTGAGTTTCGTCGTCACGCAGTGTTTGGTTTAGCTGCAAAATAATAAGTTTTTAAATGGAATTGCGTAAGACGCAACCTAATCGTCCAGCTGTCGCGTGGAATCTTTTAGTTTATTAGTTGCAATGGAAATGACTTAATATATTAAAACCTAAAGTTTACTCCTCTGATTGTCGAAGGAGTAGCATTTTCATATTTCTTGCTATGATAAACGTTGTCTATACTTCCAAGACATGTGTCGAAACGTGTGACTGGCATTTTCAAGAGAACATTGACTTCAAAAAAACTGGGCTGATTTTAAACCCATTTGTTACGAAGGTTTCCACTTCGAAACGCGGAAATGAGGCTGGACAACTACCGGATCACTAATGGAAGATATCATGTATTTCATTGTCGATGCTTAAATCTAAAAGAATACATAAGGCGTTTCATAGGGCATATTTTATTTGATGAAAATAAAACGTAAAATTAAAGTCGTTCTTAAAAGTTTCCCACCATATATAGAATGCGTCAAAAGGGCTGAAACACGTTTTCAAATGGAAGGGACCATGTCAGAGCGATTCGAATGCACTTTGTCACTGAACATAATCTCAAGTTTTTCCGTGTCCAACATAATTCTGATATTTCACTAAGCTTAATTCCATTGATGTGTGCAACTGAGACTTTGAAACTGTTTGTAGTGATACAAGCACACACGAACAATCAGGAGTAAAACAGTTATTGCTTTCGTCATGTCCAAGTTAGTCGATACATATCCACCACTTTTGTCAGAAAGAGACTAATTCTTAGCACTTTCGCTTGGAAAAAACAGGTTGGGAATGGCACCTAAGTAGACGCAGTCGGTGTTCCTACTCCTAGTTGTCCGCTCAGACTGCGGCTGCGTGTTTGTACGACTTCTGTCACGAGAAGTCATAAACATTGCCAAGGAGAGTATAGGGACTGTTTTTCTTGACTCCAAATGCAATTTTGTGAGTTAACGTAAAACTGACGATATCAGAAAAGAAAGCAGCATTCTTCTCAAGAATTGAGGTACGCATGCGGGGTTAAACATCCCGACTTGCACAACCTTAGAAGGCCGTTTAATAAAGGGGGGTGATACTGTTGACGAACTTTACTCAAAGTATGGATGCCTTCGCGTGTAAACAAATGATACAGTGGAACACTGCGATCGGCGCTAATTATTCCTATCATGTTGGGAAACATACATTGAGAAAAACATAGGACACTTCGGCAGGGTGTAGTTTACGCCAGGAGTCACTTACTCCGGGGAATAGTTTTGTTGGAGAAAAGAGCCGAACATCCAAAAACTTTGTAGCAAATCCTGATCTTCCATACTGTCACCAATCAAAAGGGAACACAATTTTTGCCATTTAATTATAATAATAAATAAATTTCGTGCCCGCTTTTGGATACATTGTCAAAAAGGCACTGCATTGTCGTATTTTAACCTTGATGAATACCTTAAAACTTCTTGATCAACCTAACGCAACAATCGCCGGTTGGTCTTTTCGTTTCTTTCTCTGAAACTTACAAATAAATATCGCCAGTCATTTACTTTTAGCACAATTGCTCCCCAAATTAAATGATCCCGGGTGTAAGCCATACCGTAACCGACAACGTTTTGCGGATCCATTCAGGCATCTGATATTCCAGCACATAAATCTGTCGTGCAAGCGTTACTCTCATAATTAGGAGGAAATTAGGAACCAATTAAGGCTAACATAGACAATTGTTTATTAAATTCGCTTCTGTGCACCGTAAAATCGACTGTGTACTGTAAAGTTTACCTTGCATTTAACTGTCTGATTTGGATCCGTTTTTGGGAACAGGCATGTTGCTTTGGCAAATCTGATCTCTTCTGGTTTAGTCCAGGTCAAGTTAACTACTTCACAAACCTCACTCCTCTGGTGTTCACTTAGTACCCGACTCTTTTGTCACAATGTCGCAAATCTTGGAAAAAAGTTACATTTGCGTTCGTAATGTTCGAGAGTTCCTGCCGAAAGTCAGTGTATCAGTTGGACATGGAATCCACCAGCAATTTTGCCGTTTCGAAGAAACTTTTGTTTTTAAAGGGGACATCACATATGAGAAGCATACAAGTGCGCGTTTTATGAAAAGCAGTTATCAGAAGTTATATAATATGCG